ATCTTAAGAAATGAAATAGAAAACAAAACAAAAATGGAAAAACCTTCCTTGTTCATGGATTGAAAGAATTAAGACCATCAAAATGTCCACACCACCAAAAGCAATTTACAGATTCAATACAAAAATCAATCAAAATATCAAGGATATTCTTCTCAGATCTAGAAGAAATTATCCTAAAATTCACAAGGAGAACAAACATTAAGCAATCTTAAACAATAAAAACAAAGCCATGTGCATCTAAATACCAGATTTCAAGACATAGTACCAGGTAGCAATAATCAAAACAGCCTGGTACTGGCACAAAACTACACATGTAGACAAACGGAACAGGACAGAAACCTCCAGAAATCAATCCACATATCTACAAAAACCTAATTTTGACAAATGAGCTAAAATCATTCCCTAAAGAAAGGAAAAGTGTCTTCAACAAGTGCAGTTGGGTAAATTGGGTCTCACATACAGAAGAAAGAAATAAGACACCTACTTTATATAAAACAACTCACAATGGATCAATGATCTAAATCTATGACCTGATACCATCAACTTACTAGAGAAAACATAGGGAAATACTGCAAGACACTGTTATAGGCAAAGACTTCTTGGATAATACTGCAGAATCACAGGCAATAAAAGCAAAAATATAACAACTGGAATTACCTCAAACTAACAAGTTTCTGCACAGCAAAGGAAACAATCAACAAAATGAAGAGACGACCAACAGAATGACAAAACATGTATGCACACAGTGCACCTGATAAAGGATTAATATCTAAAACATACAAGGAGCTGGAGAACTAAACAACAACAAAATAAACAATCCAATTAATAAATGGGCAAAAGATATGAACAGGCATTTTTCAAAGGATGAAATATAAATGGCCTACAGACATATCAAAAAATGCACAAAATCACCAGCTATCAGGGAATGCAAATGAAAACCAAAGTAAAGGAAGTCTCTAAATTATGCTTAAGAATTAAGGTGGCAGAGTAGGGAGGGAGCTTGCAGCTCAAGTCTAGGAGAAAATAGTTTTAAAAAAGTGCCATGAGTACAGTCTCAGGGAAGAGTTAGAAAACAGCAGAGGCAACTACACAAATTGGAGGAACACAATGGACACACACGAAGGGTGAGGACATGCACAACATAGGACCCCAGTAGCCGAGAGCCAGCATTGGAAAGTGAGGTGAGATCAGATTGAAGCAGCCCAAGCCACTGGTGAAAAAGCTTCAGGAAAAGCCTAGAGGTAATCCTGCTTGGAGCCCTAGAGGGGATAGTGTACCCACCAAACTAGAGGAGAAAAACAACAGAGAAAGAGAACTACAGACCAATCTCCCTGACGAACATAGATGCAAAAATCCGTAACAAAATTCTGGCCAACTGAATCTAACAACAAATCAGAAAGATCATTCACCCAGACAAAGTGGGATTTATCCCTGGTATGCAGGGATGGTTCAACTTTCACAAATAAATCAATGTGATACACCACATTAGAAACTAAAGAAAAATAACCATATAGTTATCTCAATAGATGCATTTGATAAAATACAGCACCCTTCCATGATGAAAACTCTAAGCAAACTGGGTATGGAACATTCCTCAACACAACCAAGGCAATTCATGAAAAACCCATAGCCAGCGTCCTATTAAATGGGGAAATATTGAAAGCATTCCCAATGAGATCCAGTACCAGAAAGGAATGCCCACTCTCTTTTTTTTTTAACTTTTATTTAATAAATATAAGTTCCCAAAGTACAACTTTTGGATTACAGTGGATTTTTTTCCCCCATAACCTCTCTCCCACCCACAACCATCCCATCTCCCACTCCCTCTCTCATCCCATTCACATCAAGATTCATTTTCAATTATCTTTATATACAGATGATCAATTTAGTATATACTAAGTAAAGATTTCAACAGTTTGCACCTACACAAAAACACAAAGTATAAAGTACTATTTGAGTACTAGTTATACCGTTAATTCACATAGTACAACACATTAAGGACAGAGATCCTACATGGGGAGTAAGTGCACAGTGATTCCTGTTGTTGATTTAACAATTGACACTCTTGTTCATGGCGTCACTAATCACCCTAGGCTCTTGTCATGAGCTGCCAAGGCTATGGAGGACTTTGAGTTGGCCAACTCCGATCTTATTTAGACAAGGCCATAGTCAAAGTGGAAGTTCTCTCCTTCCTTCAGAGAAAGGTACCTCCTTCCTTGATGGCCTGTTCTTTCCGCTGGGGATCTCACTCACAGAGATCTTTCATTTAGGTTTTGTGTGGTTTTTGTTTTTTGTTTTTTTGCCAGAGTGTCTTGGCTTTCCATGCCTGAAATACTCTCATGGGCTTTTTAGCGGGATCCAAATGCCTTAAGGGCTGATTCTGAGGCCAGAGTGTTGTTTAGGATATCTGCCATTCTATGAGTCTGCTGTGTATCCCAGGAATGCCCACACTCACAAGTGCTATTCAATATAGTCCTTGAAGTTTTAGCTAGAGTCATTAGACAAGAAAAAGAAATCAAAGGGATACAAATTGGGAAGAGGAAGTCAAACAAACCCTATTTGCAGATGACATGACTCCACCAAGGGATTATTGGAACTCAGAAAAGTTTGGTAAAGTAAGCAGGATATAAGTCAATACACAAATCAAGGCAGCCGATGCATACACAGACAATGCAATGGCTGAGAAAGAACTTCTAAAATCAATTCCATTCACAACAGCTACAAAAAGAATCAAATACCTTGGAATAAATTTAACCAAGGACCTCAAAGATCTCTATGATGAAAATTATAAAACATTAAAGAAAGAAATACAAAAAGATGCTAAAAAAATGGGGAGGGGAGGGGAGAGGAGATGGGAAGAGAAGAAGGGGAGGGGAGGGAAGCAGAGAGGAGAGAAATGGAGGAGAGGGAAGAAGCAGAGGGGAGGGGAGGGGAGGGAAAGTTTATTGACCATTAACTGAAATATAAAAAGACAACAATTTCCATGATATTAGCAAATGCAACAATGTTAAAAAATGAGTTTCTCTGTATTCTACCTCAGAGAAACAAATGGCTTCACTGAATACTTTGAATATTTTTGAAAGTTATAAATTGGATATTTGGACATGTGATTTTATTATGTTTTTCAACTTCTTTCAGCAAAAGCAGTATCACTACTTAAACAGATTATTTAAGGAAAAAAAGTATAAAAGAAGAAAATAAGGAATTGTGGTATAAGAAAAAAGAGTGCAAATCTAGTAAAATTTTAAAAAATTACAAAATATAAAGTATGGAAAGTTTTATGTCTACTTAATCCTAGAAGACAACGATATAGACAAACATTTAAGCTTATCAGCAAGAATCACATCATCTAACTTATATCACAATTTCTAACTTCAACATTTTCCTATATTTTTGAAAATGTTAGTTGCTCAGTACTGACTGATTTGTTTTAAAGTGATACTGGCATAATGAATAAACTCTACAGATTATTCTCCTGTTGTAACATAGATACATATAATCTTAGCATTGTAAGGAAAACATAACAACTAGTAGAATTAGGTTATTAGATTATTATCATTAGATTATTTTTATAAATAAAAGCCAGCAAATCCAAAATCTGTTTATAACCACCCTCTAGCCATCAAAAAAAGAAAAGAGCTAAGTACATAAAAGTTCTAAAAAATATTAGTCTCCAAGGAAAACAAGAAATAAATGTTATATTGGACTATATAACAATCCTTCAAAAAAATCTCTTTGGTTTTATTTCTAAATATTTGTGTGACTTTCAAACAAAAACAACTTAAAGACCTACATGTTAAATGAAGTGTTCCTACTTTTAAAATGATTACAATAACATATTTCCAAAGTTATTCTCAGAGAATCACTAATTGTGGCCCATCCTGTATCGTGTGTTATCATAAAGGAGAGGAATACACAACTTTGATTTGCTTTTCATTCTTACACTTAGGTCTTCTTGTATAGGATAAGCACAACTTGAGTGATGTCTATAAACTACCTAAGACAATACAGAGTTACAGCAATCACTATATTTTTTTCTGCATACCAATATAAGCAAAGAACAGCAAGCTGCAAAGATTTCTAGGCTAGTCTACAGCCTTTTATCAACAGGATAACTTAAGATCTACTTTTAAGTACATATTGATGCCATCCTACTGGGACTTAAATAACCAATTAGTACAACTCATATTGCCATTTAAACATTATTAAGATACACACTATCTCTAGCTTGGAAAGCATGACATCTAGTGGTACTGAGATAATTATCCTATTTTCCACTTGACAGTTCAATCAAGCACTGAACACAAACTCTTCTCTCTTAAATATGAAAAAAAAGACTTAAAACTGAAAACTACTATGAACCATCATTTATAAATACTTAGTGTCTCCAACTTTCATGCAACAAAGTAACTGCTGCAGAAAGGCCGGCAGATAGGCAGCTATACATGACTTTCAGGAATTTCAGATAATCAAGAGAAGCTTCCATCATCATCAGTACCACACTGGAATAATTCACATGCGTCAGCTTTCTTCATAGTGCCTTGTCCTTAAGCAAAATTTCAGGGTAATCAAACATGTGTAACCATTTGTTAACATTTGTTCCTTCCATTACTCATGATAAATATTCTGATATTTTGGTATTCCTGGTTGTATCATAAAAGGTAGAAAAGGGGTAAAACTCCCAACCAAAAGGAAATTCAGTGTAGCTATTCTAGAGTGAGGCAAACCCTAGTTCAAATTCCAACTCTGCTACTTACGGCACTATTGATCACAGTTATTAAATTTTTCAGTGACTCCCTCACAGAAAAGTGAAAAAGTATCTGCTACACACAGCTGGTGTATAGGTTAAATATAAAGGATTTAAGGTAATAGCTAGAAGAATTCTACACAGATAGTACTTCAATCCATAGCCATCACAATCATAACCTTAATCTTGGTATCTATCTTGTCTCATTTTTTCAGAGTTAAAATACAGCACTTAAGCATTCTGTGAAAGGTACCATTGTTTCCGAGGTGGACAGAGAACTGGGATCACGATCTTGACTGGACATCCTAGATGAAGCCATCCAAAACTTCAATGAGTCATCTAACCCTGTGACAGCAAGAACACTGTTAATGCGGACACTCTCCTGGGTACAGCGACAATTAGCAAAACAAATAAATAAATAAAAACTAAATACTCGTTACAGGAAACCAATCAGGATCTAAGGAATGAGTTATTTTTTAAAAATATAATTTTTATTTTAATGGTACATAGTAATTGAATATATTTATGAGGTTCTTTGTTGACATTTTTCTACATGTATACAACAAGTAAGGATCAGATCAGTGTAACTGAGCTATCCTTTACCTCAGAAATTATTATTTCTTCTTTGGAGGAAAATTTAAAAATCTCCCTACTAGTTATTTTGAAAGACTGATTTAATTGGTCTCAATCACAGCTATTTGTGCTACAGAAAATTAGAAGTCATTCCACTTATAACTATATTCTTTTACCCAATAACCATCTTCTCTTCATGCCTTCTTCTCTACACCCTTCCCAGGAACAGGTAACTACTATTCTACTGTCTCCTTCTGTGATATCAACATTTAGTTTCCATATTGAAGTAAAAACATGTGGTATTTGTCTTTCTTTGACTGATTACAATTAAAATAATATGTTCCACTTCCATCTATTTTGAGGCAAACAACAGAATCTCATTATAATTTTATGGCTGAATACTATTTCATTGTGTATAGGAAGGTACTTCACAAAGTTAATGGAAGTTCAATTAACAGATACATATATATAGGTACAAATTTTGGGGGGGATGTCACATTTTCTTTACCCTTTCATCCATCCATGACAACTAGGTTGATTGAGTATCTTGCCTATTAGAAACAGTGCTGCAACATGGGAGTGCTGGTTTTTCTCTGACATACTGATTTCAATTCTTTTGGATACATAGCCAGTAGATGGACTGCTGGATCACATGGTAGTTCTATTTCTTATTTTTTTAAGGAACTTCCATACTATTTTCCATAATGGATATACTAACTTACAACCTCACTATCACTGTATCAGAGTTCTCCTTTCTCTACATCCTTACCAACATCTGTGATATTCTGTCTTTTTGACATCTGTTCTAACCTGGGGTGTTTTCACCTTGTTGTGCTTTTGATTTGAGTTTCCCTGATGAATAATGATGTTGAGTATTTTTTCATAGACTTCCATCAAATACTTTGTGTATTCTCTTTTTAAAAACATCTATTTAGGACATTTTTCCATTTTAACTTAGTCTTTGTTTTACGATGTTCAGCAGGTCGTCTCTTCACTCTGCTGTTTCCTTTACTATACAGAAGATCCTTAGTTTGATGTAACTCCACTTGTCACTTTCCTTTTATTGCCAGTACTTTGGGGGCCATATCCAAAAAATCAATGCCCAAGCGAATGTCCTAGAGTGTTTCCATCAAGTTTTTGTCAAGTAATTTCAGAATTTCAGGACTTAAAGTCTTGGATCCATTTTGTGTTTATTTCTACATATGATTATAGCTAACTGTCTAGTTTCTTCTACCAGTGGATATCCAATTTTTCTAGGTGAATTTTGAGGGTGCTTTTTCTTTTTCCTGTTCTTGCTGTCTCTGTTGAAAACAAAGGTAGCTATAAATAGGCAGATAGATTTCTGGGTTCTCTATTCTGTTCCACTGGTCTACATTTCTGTTTATATGGCACTACCATGCTATGTGGGTTACTGTAGCTTGGTAGTTGGTTTTCAAGTTTGGTATTGTAATGCCTCAAACTTTGCTGCTTTTGTTCAAGACTGCTTTGGGTATTTAAGGTCTCTTGGCTTCAAACACATGTTATAAGGGTTTTTTTCTGTTTCTGTGAAGAGTGTCATTGGTAATGTTTTAAAAGATGCATTTATTTGAAAGATGGAGTTAGAGGGAGGCAGAGGCAGAGAGAGAGGTCTTCCGTCCACTGGTTTGCTCTAACACATTTTCTATAATTTTTTTGAGGATTCCTCTTTTCTTTATACGCTGTTTACTAATATTTTTCTAAGAATTTTGCATCCATGTTATCTGGGATGTTGTTCTATAGTTTTCTTTTTTGTTGTTCTTGCTTTTGTGTCTTTGGTTTTGGTTTCAGGATAATACTGGACTTGTAGAATGAGTTTGGGAGAGTTCCGTCCCTTTCAATTCCTTGGAATAGCTTGAGAATTGGCATTCTTTACATGTTTGGTGAAACTCAGCAGTGAAGTCATCAGGCTGTTTTCTAAGAGACTTTTGATTACTGATTACATCTCCCTAATTATTGGTCTGTTCAGGTTTGCTCTGCCGACAATGGTCCGAGGTGGATACAGCATAGTATTACCATCTGGTAAAGGGGCAGGGTGTCTGTCAGTGTCTGAGGGCCACATGGGGGCCATTCATACCAGTAGAGCAGAAAGAGCACTCATGCTTGTCCAAGGACTGCACAAATGATGACTCAGAGCCTCCAAGGACCTACCTGGCTCAGGGCAAGATGCCCAGTTGCTGCTTCTCAGGGGCAAGAGTGGGTACACATCTGGTTCCTGTGGCCTCTATGAGTCATGATATTCAGGGTAAGCTGCCTATCTACTTCCAGGATGGAGGGTGAGCAAGTTGAGATACACTGGCTGCTTTGGAGAATGCAAAAAGGTGGACAAGACCGGTTGACTGTTTCCTGAGAACCTCTGTAGACCAAGTCACTCAGGGTGAGCTGCCCAGGTATCTTCTGGGAGTGTGGGAGGCTACACAGGGTCACTCACTGGTTCACAAGGCTGAGTGTGTTGGGGACAGTTGCTCAGCTGCTTCACTGGAACTCTAGTGAGTAGGGTCTCAGGATGGTATCCTGCAGCAAAAGCCTGGGTGGTACAGAGTACAACATGGGCCAGAAACTTTCTTGAAGGTAATGTAGCAGTGTGACGACCCAACGAGCTCCCCAAACTGGGCACAGGACCTAAGAGGTCTACAAGTTTCTCTGGTAGCATATGCTTCAGGTATCCATGCTGGGAGTAGGGTCTGCTGGGGACCTCCTATTTACCCTTTACCTGCTAAGCAAACTCCCTCCTAGTTCAGGGTTAACCTTACGACATCAGACCATGGACACTACGTGCTTAGTTCCCTTTCTTTATGAGGCCATCTGAATCTCCCTGCTCCAGCTCCACGACATCTCTCACACATCCCTACTCTACTCTGGCACTCTGCCTCAAACACTCAGGTGAAGTCACTGTTTTTTTATTTGTTTGTTTTGTTCTTTTTTTTTTTTTTAAAAAAAAAAAACATTTATTTTATTTATTTGAAAGGCAGAGTCACAGAGAGGCAGAGGCAGAGAGAGAGAGAGGTCGTTTATCCACTGGCTCATTGCCCAGATGGCCACAATGGCTGGAACTGTGCCAATCCGAAGCCAGGAGCAAGGATCTTTTTCTGGGTCTTGCACGCAGGTGCAGGGGCCCAAGGGGTTGGGCCATCCTTTACCACTTTCCCAGGCCATAGCAGAGAGCTGGATCAGAAGTGGAGCAGCTGGGACTCAAACCAGTGCCCATATGAGATGCTGGCACTGCAAGCAATGACATTACCCACTACACCACAGCACTGGCCCCGTAGTCACTGTTTTTTTCTTTCTTTTGGTCCACCATTATGCAGGGAAATGTGCCAGGTACCTCTCTAGTCAGCCATGCGGCTGATCAGAAAGATTTTTCAGTATGCATAACCATCAAGGACATGTTAAAACAGTTTCCTGAGCAATGATCTGAGATTCCAGTGCCCAAATTCAGGATGGGTCATGAATGAGCATTTCTAACAAGCTCACACAAGATGCCAGTATCACTGGATCTAGAGCCAGACTCTGCATAACACAGATCCAAAGGACCACAATTTTTTTTGACAGGCAGAGTGGACAGTGAGAGAGAGACAGAGAGAAAGGTCTTCCTTTGCCGTTGGTTCACCCTCCAATGGTTGCCACGGCTGGCGCGCTGCGGCCAGCGCACCACGCTGATCCGATGGCAGGAGCCAGGAGCCAGGTGCTTTTCCTGGTCTCCCATGGGGTGCAGGGCCCAAGCACCTGGGCCATCCTCCACTGCACTCCCTGGCCACAGCAGAGAGCTGGCCTGGAAGAGGGGCACCGGGACAGAATCCGGCGCCCCGACCGGGACTAGAACCCGGTGTGCCGGCGCCGCAAGGCGGAGGATTAGCCTAGTGAGCCACGGCGCCGGCCCAAAGGACCACAATTAATTAGATCAGTTACTTTCCTAACAGGGACATTTATTTAGAATATTCAAAAACTTTTCCTAATGTTATTTTACTCTTAATTTCTCTGAAAAGTAAACACAAAAGTAAATTACAAATTCACCCTTAAATATTTGGGAGTAAAAGAACTTCTGGTTTGTGACTTATTGTTAAATAGCTCAGAAAAATACACAGACATACATACATATAAACAACTAAATTTTATATGTATCTATATACATACATACACACATGGGATAGTTAATAAGCAAAAAATATTATTAACATTTTCAAATTTTTGTACTATTCTTTAACTTAAATATCTAAGAAATTACTTGCAAAAAATTAATTTCAAAATAGAAGCTATTTTTAAATTATTTATTATGAAATATATTATTATTTATATGTTTTAAGATCTTATGCTTGGGGTCAGCATTGTGGCACAGCTGGTTAAATCGCTGCCTATGATGCCAGCATCCGTATCAGAGTACTGGTTCAAGTTCTACCTTATCTGCTCCTGATCTAGCTCCCTACTGATGTGCCTGAGAAAGCAGCAGAAGATGGCTCAGATGCTTGGGTCCCTGCCACCCACATGGGAGACCTGAATGGAGTTCCCGGCTCCCGACTTCAGCCTGGCTCAGCCCCGGCAGTTGCAGTCATTTAGGGTGTGAAACAACAGATTGAACATAAGATTGCTTGCTCTCTCTCTCTCACCTCACCTTCCAAAAAAAATAATAAAAATATTTTTAAAAATCTGATGCTTTGGCTGGCGCTGCAGCTCACTTGGCTAATCCTCCGCCTGCAGCACCGGCACCCTGGGTTCTAGTCCCGGTTGGGGTGCTGGATTCTGTCCAGGTCGCTCCTCTTCCTGTCCAGCTCTCTGCTGTGGCCCGGGAAGGCAGTGGAGAATGGCCCAATTGTTTGGGCCCTGCATCCGCATGGGAGACCAGGAGGAAGCACCTGGCCCCTAGCTTCGGATCACTGCAGCACACCGGCCGTGGAAGCCATTTGAGGGGTGAACCAACGGAAGGAAGACCTTTCTCTCTGTCTCTCTCTCTCTCTCTCACTGTCTAACTCTACCTGTCAAAAAAAAAAAAAAAAAATTCTGATGCTTTCAAATAAAATACAATCTATAAATAGAAGTAAAAATGTTTTAGCAAGAAATTTTAATAAAGGAGTAATATACCAAAAAAGTACCTTTAAATATTATCAAAATGAATTAGAAAATGTAGTGGGAAAAGGTTTCATTCAAAAGAGTGAGTAGTAGACTACCCAGGAGTTGACATTCCCAAAGAGTTCAATACATTAGTAAAGAAAAAAAATTATAAAACTTTACTGAAGGGCATAATATAAATTATGAAACACTAATATGGTATCAAAAATAGCTTCTATGAAGAATTTATATCATAAAAATGATTAGGCAACATTCAAAGTAGAGAATACAAAAGTGCACATAAGATATGAACACCCTATGTAAAATAAGCAAAAGCAACAGAGAAAGAAGACTGGAAGAAAATAAACTCTAACAAGGGTATTATCTAGGTAGCAGGACTAGAGACACATGGCTTTGCTGTATACTTTTCATTAATTTCCAAATACTCTTAATAAACACATGTGTTTTCAAGATAATTTGTGAAACCAATGATGTCGAACTTACCATTTGGATCACTGCCTTCTGAAGTTCCATCAAAAGCAGGGAAATTTGAATCAAATACGTATTGTCCTAGATAACAATGTTTTATCATCTGATTCACATGCTCATAGAAATGGCAGTGATACAAAAGCGCCTGAAGGGCAGGTTTTCCTGTGAGTGACAGGCCAGAGTCTTCATCATGCACGGAGGGGCCCTGGAGGAAAGTGGGAACAAAGAAGAGGCACACCGCGCTTCATCACCACGTTCTTCAGAAAGACCCAGTGTGCTCGCTCAAGGAAACAAATGGTTCCCAGACTCCAGCATGCTCTTGCCACTGTGCCTTGGTCCTTCACCAGGAACCACCACCTAACCAAGGGCCAATTCCTGTACAACACTTTAGGTCTCTGCTGCCTAAACACCTTCTGAAAGCAGAGGATGATCTACTCTCTCACTGACAATGCTTCAGCCACGTAATTACATACTTGAGCCACAAACACAATAAAAGCAGTGTTTTCAACTACATGAAAGGTAAGATAATAAATATTAAAACAAATGAAATAATGTGGGCCAATCAATTATGTTCAAAAGTATTTTGTCCCTATTAGAAAACCAGATAAAATTAATATACTCAACAAAACCCACAGCAAAATCTGTTTGCCATGTTACTTACCACTGAATTAATTCTGACATGGAAAAAAAAGTGCATAACACACAAAAATCTCCCACTAGGAGACTAAGAAGAATCTGAAAAATACATAATTTTATTTCTTTGTACTTTTCTCCAATAATTTTTGCATTGCCACTCAGTAATTTCCCTGAAATCTCCAATGGCAAAAACCAATCAGTGAGGATTGGATTCTGATTTTATAAATAATCTCATCATAAGTTTATAAATGTCTATTTTGTGAAAATGATAATCAATAATCAATAAGTAATTATCAATGAAAATAAAATATAAATCTAAGTGGCAAAAGGAAAGGAGCATATTGTCAAGATGCTCAAAGTTCACCTTTAACCACAAGATTATATGTGTCTCTTCTCTTACCCTTCCCATCAAGAAAGAAAGCAGATATCAAAAGTTACTCTTCAAGAAGATAAAGCAATTCACAAGTGAAAAGTATAATTACACTAAAATATTAACAATTCTAACCATATTAACACTTTTCATTTGCACTTCTTTTAAGACAATATCATTACAATTAAAACTTATACTTCAATATTAAATGCCTTTTATGATTATGAAGCTGTTAATTGTTATGCTCTAATAATTCTACTCAACACTATGAGCTTACTCTTCACAAACAGTGGATTTTACATAAGAAGTAAGACTGTCAACCAGGGAGAACACAATGGTGACTGTCATTTTAAATGCAAAGGTCTACAGAAACAGGTAAAATGGGAATCCCAAAGAACAGCTTCATGCAGTTCCTGTTTATCAACCAAGGAATAAATTACAGACCATGTGGTCCTTTAATGCATTACTTTATTTCATTATCCATGGTGAAATATTTGTCCAAAACCACAGATGTTATCTTAATATTCATAGTTTTAAAGTGTTCTGAAAGTAGACGCTGTGGCACACCAGATTAAAGCCCTAGCCTGCAGTGCCGGCATCCCATATGGGTGTGGGTTGCAGTCTCAGCTGCTCAACTTTCAACTTCCAATCCAGCACTCTCCTAATGGCCTAGGAAAGCAGTGGAAGGTGGCCTAAGTCCTTGGGACCCTGTGCACCCATGTGCGAGACCCAGAAGCTCGTGGCTCCTGGCTCAAGATCAGCTCAGCTCTGGTAACTGCAGTCACTTAGGGAGTGAACCAGCAGACAGTAGCCCTCTCTCTATCTCTGTAACTCTCTTTTTCAAATAAATAAATCTTTGAAAAATAAGTAAATAAATACAAAATATTCTCTATTTTAAGCAAATTTAACATTATTAAACTTGAAAATATGTCAAACGCACAACAGATTTATCATAACTGCTTAATATCACAAATTAAAACCCTCAATATGGTAATTCAGGAAGGAATTACCAATCAAGAACAAAATTATAATTTAAGTTTACTAGATTAATTTCAAGCTATCTAGTAAGTCCAATAAATCAATAAAACAATTAGTAAAGTAGTATAAAAATGATTTGTCCAAGTATATTTAATAATGATCAGCACAAATTTAAAATATTTTACTATATAGATTGTACAAAATTATTATTTTTGCAAAATTATGTCCATATAATTGTTTCCTTATCAAAATTACACTCATAAATCCACAAAGGTCTAATGAAAATAGGGAAGAAAAGTAAACTATATAAATCTGAAAAACAGAAAAAACTTGAGTATTTACAGCTCTTCAAAAGCTATTAAATCTACGAATTCTTTATTCCATTAAAGAGCCCTCTAAGGCCTATGGCTATACCATCTTCCAGGAGGGTAAGGGTTACAAACCAATCATGTTCTAAAATCCAACTTTTATTTAGTCAGAAGTATTTTCAAAAGTTATAAATTATCTGCGTAAATGTGACATCGGAACTCTGGCAATTCTTCTCTAAATTGTAAAGTTGTCAGAGTAATAAAGAATCTAACCCAATTATATTTATCCTTCAATTAATACATTTTATTGTGGTTTTTTTTTTTTTGGTTTTTTTTTTTTTGACAGGCAGAGTGGACAGTGAGAGAGAGACAGAGAGAAAGGTCTTCCTTTGCCGTTGGTTCACCCTACAATGGCAGCCGCGGCCAGCGCGTTGCGGCCAGCGCGTTGCGGCCAGCGCACCGCGCTGATCCAAAGGCCGGAGCCAGGTGCTACTCCTGGTCTCCCATGGAGTGCAGGGCCCAAGCACTTGGGCCATCCTCCACTGCACTCCCGGGCCATAGCAGAGAGCTGGCCTGGAAGAAGGGCAACCGGGACAGAATCCGGCACCCCGACCGGGACTAGAACCTGGTGTGCCAGCGCCGCAAGGCGGAAGATTATTAGCCTGTTGAGCCACGGCGCCGGCCCAATTAATACATTTTAAAACTTCATTTTCTCTTCTAGTTCTCCCTAATATAAAAGGAAAAAACAGATCTGGAAAACAAAGGAGTCATTAATAACAGATATAAAATTATAATTAAATCTATCTAATAAATATTAGAACCTGATTTATTTCCTCTACCTATAAGTCCTGGTGAAAATTATTCAACATAGCAAGACTGAACAAGCTAAAGGCTATGAAAAAAGAACTACTTAGGAAATAATGTAGGAGCCTGCGCTGTGGTGTAGTTGGTTAAGCCGCCACCTGCAGTGCCGACATCCCATATAGGCGCCAGTTTAAATCCCAGCTGCTCCACTTCCAATCCAGCTCTCTGCTGTCATCTGGGAAAGCAGTAAAAGATGGCCTAAGTCCTTGGGTTCCTGCACCCTCGTGGGAGACCCAGAAGAAGCTCCTGGTTCCTGACTTCTAATCAGCTCAGCTCCAGCCACTGTGGCTGTTTGGGGAGTGAACTGCCAAATAGAAGACATTCATTCATTCATTCATTCTCTCTCTCTCTCTCTCTCTCTCTCTCTCTCTCTCGAAAAAGTGTAAAGACTAAGACACAGAAATATAAAACATATGACAGTGAAAATCAGTTCAAAGGGAATAATATGAAACTGTGTTCTCTGGAAAGAGAAAACCTAACAGAAAAGTAGCAAGTCATTTTCAATATATATGTGCAAAAAATTTGTCAAAGCCAAAAAATACAGAAGGTCCAAGTCTTCAAATTGAGTTCAGTAAGTGCAAAACAAGAGAAATAAGATGCACAATCATAAAATTGTAGAATACCACAGAATATACCATAGAAAAAAAAGAAGATGGTAAAAGAAAGGTCATAAAGAATCAGGAAACATTATATGGGAATTATTCTTTCCAACAGCACCAGATGCTAAAGACAGTGAGGCAGATGTGTAGGAGGGATGATTGGTATCCAGCCAAACTATCGATCCAATGCAATTTAAGACATTTTCAAACATGGAGGCACTCATGAAGTTTGCCTCTTATGTACCTGTTAGGTAGGGGCTCAGCCATTTTGAGGATGCTCACTAGGTAAAGGGGTGCTAGCACAAGTGAAAGGATGATAAAGAGCTTAGGGATGATACGGATTTACACAGCAAGAAGACACAAATAAGGAATTCAGGGCGGGAAGGGGAATAAATCAATTTTAGAAATCATGACACTCACAAATGTATGCATACATAGAAACATAAAAGAATACTTCAAAAGTCTATGGTAAAAACTGAATTAAAGCAGAAGTTTATTCTGGTACCAAAAATTTTGAAATTCATGCATAGTTCTTTCAAAATAGGCATTTTCCATGAACTTTTTGAAGATCTCACAAATGCATGTATTTCAATTTTTTGCACCAAAATAAACAAATATTTTAATTTCATTTTCCACAAACTTTCTGAAGTATCCTCACATATACAAACATCCAGGAATTTTTCCTTTATGTATTCAACAGCCCAGCTCTGAGATAAGGGAGAGCAACCAGAGACCACCAAGTTGCTCTGCAGTGAGTTACTGGCTTTCAAAAATAAAAAAAAAATTAAAAGTCAGACTGCCAAATAGAATGTAAACATAATCAACTCTCACAAAGCACAAATAAGAAAAAAAACTAGCAAAGATCAGCATTAACATTAAAAGCGAGGCAGAAAAGACTGAGGAAAGAGTGAAAATATCCTAGCCACCTCTTACTCATGTTCTAAATGGGGCCAGGAGACACAGCACTAAGTTGAGAAAACCAGCAACTGCAGAGAACACCAATGAACCATCCGAAACCAACAACACAACTATATCTACAGGAGATGGAATAAATGAACTAAACCTTCATGTATCAAGGTAGTAGAGGAATGAATACATTATTGCAAAAATACTATTTAGATACACAGGAGTAACTTACTTAAGAATTAAAATCAGAAACAAAGCTGCCTCTGTGAATGGAGAGGCAGTGAACTGCATTATAAGCTATATTAGCTTTTTTAACCGTATGTATTTATTGCTAAAAATGTCTAACATTTCATAAAATGAGTACATTCATAATATTCTCAAAAGAAAGCTAAATGATCTAGAATAGGTAGCCATTATTTTTTATTGATTTATTTAAACATTAAGCCTGAAACCCTATTCTCTACATGCCAAAGCTTTCTAGTGGCAATGGTGTATTGTCAATAAAATTTCACTCCTGGCAAGGGAGCCAAGGCCGGCAATAAACACAAAGGAAGGCCTGACTCAGGCTCTCCACAGATGACAAATGGTACGGACAAAAACAGGGGAGCTTTCCAAGCATGTACCAGGCATGCTCCATAGACACGTCAGTGATTGGCAGGGTGGACTTCTGAAATAGGAGGGAAATTAACACAGCCTAACTGCCTTGTCTGGAAATGTCTGCATCTTGCCAGTCTTGCCTCAGGTGAGTGCTGGGTCAGCCAGACCATCTGCTCAACTGCCAGGGAGTTGGAGAAGAGCAGGACACAAGGAAAGAAAACAAATCAAGTCCCAGATGCCATTACAAATAAACTTGCAAAATAAAATTGCATATTACATCATAGAAAGTTCAAATTAATTTGAAAAGTGTTCAAGGATTCAATAAACTAGAATTTTAATTTTCAAACATAATTGATTACTAGTGTCATAGTGCTAAAGTGCCCATTTAACTACAACTGAAAAGGAACTAGAGGCAAAGAAACATTTAGGAAGAACAATAGAAAATTAATTTTTCAAGAGGGGATTATTCTGATATATACTAAATTTTAAAATTCTAATTATAAAATTCTAATTCTAATTATATAATATCTAACTATAATAATTCAAAATAACCCCAAATACACTAGAAATCCTTAATTATACACAAATTACAAATATCATTAAAATACTACCACTTCACCAAGTAATCAATACTTCGTGAAATTAATACACATAATGCTTCATGATGAACACATTAAAATTTGCTAGATAGGAAAATAATTCATAGAAACTACAACTACATACAGGTCAACTGTCTAAAACATACACACACAAACACATTTGCAGACTGAGAGGGCATGGAAGCAAAGACACCCCAAAAACAAAGCAAATCTAGAACCCACATCTCATCTGCTAAATATCAATCTCCATGAATTGAAATCAGGGTGCTCTGAGAAAATTCACAATTCTAAACTAGGGCTGAAAAAGTCTAGAATATCTTGCTATTTCAAAAAGTAAGGAAATATTCAAAAATTGATAAAGATATGTTTAAAGCACAAAGAAACTTCCCAGCTTCTCCTGACTAAAGCTAGAACAATTCGAACTTCTAAACAAATCACAATAAAAACAGATTATAGCACATCAAATAAACTGAGAATCCTTGAGTCCACAATTGATGTAAGTAAATGAAGAACAAAGGAAATTTCTTCCTTACAAAAGAATATAATAAATGTCAAAAATAATGATGGAATTAGAAAAGCAGTTGACAACCATTCTGTAATCACTATTTCAGATGGGAATAACAAAAAGAAATTAAACTAATAAAAGAAAGTTTTATGAGAACTTATTTACATGGTCTTAAAGGACTTCCTCGTAAATGAAAAAACTCCACAACATAGACAACAAGCCGATTATATTTTAAGTAACCAAGTTATTACCACCAATAATGGGAAAAAGTGATACAATATCTCCCATATGATACTCTAAGCTCATATCATTTCTATCATTTTTCTGCCCCCAAAAAAAAACATAATCTGTAATAAATGATGAATAAAGAGACAAATTTAATTGAAGAACATTACAAAAAATAAGTAGCTAGCACTCTTAAAAATGCTATGATTGGGGCTGGCGCCGAGGCATAGTGGGTAAAGCTGCCGCCTGAAGTGCTGGCACCCCATATGGGCACCAGTTCAACTCCTGGCTGCTCCACATCTGATCCAGCTCTCTGCTATGGCCTGGGAAAGCAGAAGATGGCCCAAGCGCCTGGAGACTCAGAAGAAGCTCCTGGCTTCGGATCAACACAGCTCCAGCTGTTGGGAGTGAACCAGCGGATGGAAGAGGAAGACCTCTCTCTCTCTCTCTCTGCCTCTTCTCTCTGTGTAACTCTGACTTTCAAGTAAATATATAAATCTTTAAAAAAATGCAAAGATCATAAATGTTAATGATTTAGAAACTATGTGAGATGAAATAGACTGAATAGATATGGCAATGATATCCAATGTGTTTTCTTGAAAGCTAGATCCTGGATTAGATTGTGTGAGTGCAGGCACACACATGAGCACATGCTATGAAGGACAGTAGTGGGATAACTGGAAACACTTGAGTAATTTTCTAATTTGAGGAATTAGGCAATAGAATATTCTTGCTTTTAGAAACTCACACTTAAATGTTCAGAGGAAAAGATACATTATGTCTATGACTCTCCTAGTAGTCAACAAAAAAATTGCTAGACAGAATGAAACACAAATGTGGTAAAGTAACATTTGGGGAATCTGAGTGAAGGGTCTATGAAATCTGTACTATTTCTATAACTTTCTTATAAATTGAATTTTTCAAAATAAAGGTTTTTTCAAAGATAAAGGATATGTACAATCCAAAGTCCTATCAGAAATGCAGAAAAGAGCTAAAGCAAGACCAACTGTACTTGTATTGCACACCAACAACCCATTATTACCTTCACATTTAAATTTCAAGCACAAAGAACTTTAATATTATAAAAATTATGTATAATTTACCATTATTAAACAAAATAATAGTGTAATAATGTTCCCTGGGTATTTGTCTTTCCTGGCAGGCCTTAAGTCCTAGAACACTAAAAATGATTATCTGTGAAGCCCCAACATTTAGACACTCAAAGAATGTTTACAGAAATGAACTTAAACAAACTACACAGACAACCCTTTTTTGATCAATAGGTATGTTGCTCTAATTAACTCTAACATTTGCCATGATGTGGCTTTGTGACACACTCACCAAACTAAAACCAACAGCAGAACCCTTACATTCAGCAATACTCATTCCTAGTCACACGGTGGAGTTTACAAATCTATGGACAGCTGGGAGCCACAACCCAGCTTCAGGACACTTGGATACTGACCGCTATCTCTCTTCAACAGAGGGAGGTAGCTCAAGAACACGATCAATATTTACAGACGTCCCCCTTAAAAGGTAGTGATCCAAAAATGAAAGAGCTGTGATGTACTATGGACTGATATAGCAAGAACAGAGCGTCACAGACTCAATGAGCAACAAGGAATCAGATGGCAATGTTAAAGAAATTACAAAGAACCAGTGGGAAAGTGGCTGACAATTTACAATAAATTAACTTGAGTTTGTAAAATTGGGAGAAGCTAATACAACCTGGGCCTTTGACAACCACCTGGATTACACTTTAGGCAATGCCCCAAAAACTACCTTCACCACAGCTCACTTGGTCCAGTAACTCCACTAAAGGTATGAAAGCTCAAACATAAACCTTAGATTCATCTAGGACTCTGGAGAGTGAGGTACAGCATTGTGATAAATATACACTTGTAAGTGATCTCCCCCAAGGAGATCACTTTTGTATCCTATAAATTATTTGAAAATCATACAAAGGTAACTACCAATAGAACATAAAACGAAAGAATTAACCCAATAGAAACCAAAGAAAGACAAATTATGACCCAAACTCCTCTGTGCTCAAACAAGGAACCATTAACAACATTGTTAACACCAAAATATGTTTAGCTATAAGAATTTCAAATCCAAAAATCTGAAATGCTCCAAAATCCCAGACTTCATAATTATCAACATGATACCACAAGCAGAAATTCCAAACCTGAACTTAAGTGCTGAGCTGCAGTCAAAACACACAAAATTATAAACAAAAACAGAAACAAACTACATAGGGGCCAGGGTTGTGGCGAGCAAGTTAAGCAACCGACTGCAATGCCTGCATCCCATATTGGAGCACAGGATTGAGTTCCGGCTCCTCTGATTCCGATCTAGCTCCCTGCTACTGCACCTGGGAAACTGGCAGAAGACGGCCCAAATGCTTGGACCCCTTCACCCATATGGAGAACTTATGGAGATCCTGGCTCCTGGCCTCCACCTGGCCCAGCCCCAACCATCACAGCCATTTGTCAGTGACTCAGTGGATGGAAGATCTCTTTCTTTCTGTCTCTCCTTCTCTGTCACTGTCCCTTTAAAATAAATTAATCTCTAAATAATAATAAATACTATACAAAAGTACATATAGGCCATATGTACAAGGTATATATGAAATATAAAAGATGTTTTTGTTTAGACTTGGATCCTTATTCCTGTAATATCTCATTATGTATATGCAAATATTCCAAAATTTTTAAAAAATCCATTATCTGAAATACTACTGGTTCCAAACATTTTGGATAAGGGCTGCTCAATCTGTGTAAGCAAATGCACTATTATTTAAATTAGAGAGATAACACACTGAAGTAGGTAACAAACACACTGCCTGGAATCAAAGCACTGGCTAACTGTGCTAAAGTTTCTAAGCCTACAAAATAAGACTGATAACACTTCACAACTGAAATAATTACAAAATTTAAGATATGGTCAACGTCTAGAAGAATACTTACTACACAGTAAACACCAGTATAGGTATTATTTGTTTAAAATTACTGTAACACTGAAGTTTTAAAATATGATCAAGCATAAGGTTTCAGATTCCTGCAGCTCAGTATATAGTTTCAACAGTAATAAAATATACATATTCTGAAAATTTATCAGCAAGTAATCTCAAGTACAAGGGTACTTCAAAAAGTTTGTGGAAAATGGAATTCAAAGATAAGTTTGTTTGATGCAAAAAACTTTGAATCTATGCATAGTTTTTTCATAATGTACATTTTCCATGAACTTTGTGAAGACCATTCATATCTACTAGGCTGATAATTGTTTAAATCACCCACCTGCCAAGTAGAATCCTTTATAATTTCTGTAGGCATTGGAATTACAAGGAGATTCTGAAGAATAAATGCAGCCTGTAAATTAAAAAGAAAAAAGAGTCAATACTGCCACCTTGTTGTGATCTCTGAAATAACCAATACAATGTAATTGAATAACAAGAAAAATATCTGGTTAATTCCACATGCTGAGAGGTCACTATGAAAACTGCCAAACTGCATTTCTTGCTAGGCGATAAACTTGTTAATTTTGTTAGGTGATGAACTAACTGTCTGAAATTATTTCATCAGGAAATATATTCTTTGTATTTCAGAATTTAATTTTATTGAAAAACTAATCTGTATAACACAAACTGTTCTAAGAAATAAATTTCATATATATTCAGCACACATTCTCGATTAAGAACTTCCAGGTTTCCACTTCCCCTTTAAAGTGCATCCACACCCACACACCCACACACACCCACACACAAACCCCCTTACTCACTCTCTTTTTTCCCTCCCTCACACAAAGTCCTCTCAATAAAAACTTAACCGCAAGTTCAAATCACAAACACCCAACTTAACCTACTTAGAACCTAAAGATGACCAAATTAAATGATCACACGAATGTGAGCAATGATCATCTATTTAGTGATATAATGATGATATAATTATAATGGGAAAATAATAAAGATGATGGAGGATTCTGAGAGTGAAATTTCTAATGATCTTAACTGGACGTCAAAAGAAAAGCTTTATTATTGATGAATCAAGAGGAAATTGTAAATGCAATCATTACACCTAAAAACACTGAGGCATGTAACAAGATACCAGTCATTCAAGTTAGGAACTCAGAATGGCTAATGGTGGATCCAGGAACTGCTATTTTCTTCCTAAGTCACAAAGTACTATTTGATTATTCTTTTTAAACTCTTGGCATAAAATTCACTATGATAAAATTAGCAATAAAAAAAATCACAAACTATTTAGAGAGAATTAAAATAGGGTTCACTTTTCCTCTCATACATTATATAATAAGTACCACAAAGAGTTATTTTCACAGCCCCTCATATTTACTAAAATGTTATAAGCATGAGAGACCCATAAATGCTTAGGTAATATAAAAGTAATCTTTTTGAGGAACTATTTTCAATGCTAATAAAATGTAAGAGATGACATTAAAATGCACCACATTCTGGGGCAGGCATTCGGCACAGCCACTAAGATGCTGCATCCCACACCCAATGCCTGGGCTTGTGTCCCAGCTCCATGTTCAGCCCAGTTCCTGCTACTGCACACCTGTGAAGGCAGCAGATGAAGGCTTAACTGCTCAGGTGTCTTCCACCCTTGTGGGAGACTGGAGTGAGTACAGGGCTCCTGCCTCTGGACTGGCCCACTCCCAACTGCCGTGGGAATTTGGGGAGTAAACGAGCAGATCTCTCTCTGTCTCTGTCTCTTTGCCTTTCAAATAAATAAAATGTAAGTCTTTTAAATATGCCATATCTGATTCATCTTATCAGAATAAAAGACTCTTTTTTTAATTTTTGCTGTGAATTTGCACCATTTTTATTTTCTACTGCCGATTCAATTAGGTTTGTTACAAGCAGAAGAGACACAGTCAGTGGTCAGTTCACTACGCTAAACAGTGAGTCAGTGTTTTCGGTTTTCTGACTTTTTTATGGACCTATAATATTTGCATTTATTTAAGGGGTACAGTGTTGTATTTTGATACACAAACAAAATGGTTTATAAACACTATCAAATTGTATTTCTAAGGAAAAAGGAGGGAGAGAATACTAAAAAGACACACATACCTCCCGACGCACCATGCTACATTCTGACTGGTCCAGAAGAATGTTCACTACAGTTCCCCAGAGCCCACCAGAAATGTTCTGACAGCTGTTTGCCAAGGCCACACAGCCAGTGTCAAGGGTGGTCAGAGCTGCTCCTAATGCCAGGGAAGTGAACCTCACCTGTTCAAAGTAAAGAGAAACATCAAGTCAAAGAATCCTACTTCCTAACATAAATTCTAAATTCTTCTGATATATAAAATATCCTTCTATAAGTAGGACATTGGTTTTATATATATTTTTTTTTTTTTTGACAGGCAGAGTGGACAGAGAGAGAGAGACAGAGAGAAAGGTCTTCCTTTTGCCATTGGTTCACCCTCCAATGGCCGCCACGGCCGGCGCACTGCGGCCGGCGCACCACGCTGATCCAATGGCAGGAGCCAGGTGCTTTTCCTGGTCTCCCATGGGGTGCAGGGCCCAACCACTTGGGCCATCCTCCACTGCACTCCCTGGCCACAGCACAGAGCTGGCCTGGAAGAGGGGCAACCGGGACAGAATCCGGCGCCCCGACCGGGACTAGAACCCGGTGTGCCAGCGCCGCAAGGTGGAGGATTAGCCTAGTGAGCCGCAGCACCAGCTGGTTTTATAATCCTAAATTACAAAATATAATTATAAAAGGCACTGTCCTGTAAATTTATGAATAAAACTTCTATTCCACAATTCAAATAATACTTGTAATACAGAAAAAGTTAAATATAAACAAAAGATCCACACAAATAAAATCAGATATAAAGAAGCACAAAAATTATAGTTTACAAGTTTGTATTTTTTAAAGGAAGATTAGAGCACTTATACATCTTTAATGATACAATTTCTATTGATTCTCCATCCTTAAAAATGGTACCTAATATTTCGTTCAGCCTTTCCTAACTTCAATGGTTTCTTCCAAATATAAGGTTTTTTAATTTCCTTCAATCATCTTTTTAAAATAAAGAAGTGAACTATCTTTTTATAAAGCATTTTAGTATATTCTCAAAAATTAAATGACAAAAATGTTTTAAATATGGTAGAATATGTTTGCTGTAGTACCATTGTTATTCAATCCACACATTTTGAATTTCTGAATTCTAACTCAAAACCAGTTTCAATGATAGTTACATAATAAAAAATAGTGATGACAATAGTGCAGTCATAACATAGGTAATAAGTCTAAGTTCAATGTACCTCAATGTACCTTAAGTTCAGATTTGATTACAAATCAAAGTTTTTACTGTAACACACAATCTAATGATTTCTTGCTCTAAATCAGTGTGAAAATGGCTAAAACTGGAAAGATATTTAATCATATAAAATTGTGCGTTATAAGAGTTCTATTTCATTAAATGATACATCTGTGTCAATAAGCTTTATAACTCAAAATTTTCAACTATGCTTCTAAACTGCTCGAAAATCACTGGGCTTCTCTCAGTAATTTTCAACTGCCCTTTCTGAAAATCATAAATTTTATCACCTTTTTTATATTTTCGAAATGTAACATATGAATTAGATTAAAATGTACATCTATGCACTTAAATAGATACCCCCAAAATTCCTATGTTGAAGCCCTAAATCCCAATGTGACTATATTCTGAGACACAACATTTAGGGAATGCGGCATCTTTTGCCAAATGCATGCACCAAGAAGGTGCCATGTGAGCACACAATGAAACGGTAGCCTTCTAAAAGGAAGGAAGAGGGCTTGCACCAGAGACCAACCATTCTGGCACCCTGATCTTAGACTTTCAGACTCCAGAACTGTGAGAAAATAAATGTGTTGTTTAGGCCAACTAGTCTCTGGTATTTTGTTATGGCAGCCTAAGTTAAGACACAGTTCAAATAAAAAAGGGATAGTTACTAAAATAACCCCTAATAAGAACAGGTACAAGCATGTGTAGTTTGTTTCAATCGTTTTTAATATAAACACGGCGGGCCTGACTTTCCTTCACACTCACCTCTGGATCCCGGTCAACCCACAGTGGAATCAACCAAGTCAAGCCTCGCTGAGCAGCAGCAGCAGCATGCTCTTCACAGTGACTACCTAAAGGCAGGAACCAAAGCGACATCCACTCCTACAGCAAGCAAAGAGGAAGCAAACACCTTAGAAAATTTAAAATAACTGAATTTCCAAATGTCAAAACAACACACAAATGAATTTTAAGACTTGGTTTTTATCCATTCACCAAAACAAATGCAAACAAAAATCTTAGCTTCTCCTAAAAAAGTTAACAATTTTTATACAGAAGCTGTTTTTCCATGAATTAACAAACTGTAATTTAATAGTGATTACACAGTTCAATCAAAATAAATTTCAAATACAATTCAGATTTGTATAACATCCAATTTGTAAGAAACGTGTCAGACAAAAATCACTTGTCTCCTAAAAAGAAAAATCAAAAGAATCATCTACATTTAGCAAACAAAGAAGCTCGAACCATGTTAGGAACAGCGCATTCCTTTTCAAGCAACTGTCAGAAGAAATGCAGCTTGCAATGCTCTCACCGAACTCTGCGCCTGGGCCATCATCTCATGGGATAAGTGAAGCAAGCAAAGAACTGTGCTCTTTGTAACACCTTTTCCCATGAAAGACATGGCATTTCCTCCACGTTCCACATAAAAAGAAGTAATAACCTGAAAATCAAATAGAAACAATTTTATGTGGCTTTATTCTTCATGGTGTGTGTGTGTGTGTGTGTGTGTGTAACTTTCTGCTAACATGCCTGAATTGAAGCCTAACCATGTTAAGATACAACAGTCTTACTTTATATTGAACAATGGTCAAGATAGTAAATTTTATGTTATGTGTATTTAACCACAGTTTTAAAAAATATTCTTGGTTTAAATATTTTCCCAATGAGATCTTCCTTCTGGGCACCTCCATTCTGTGCTTTCTGGCTCTGCCCTCATTGTGGCCCCATGTGGCTCAGCCTCTGCAACTCTGAGAACCTCACTCACCACAAAAGCCCTCAGGAGGCCTGGACTCCTTACAAACTGGAAAATGGTGTAAGAAAATAAATACACCTCCATCCAAAAAAGGAAGAGGAGCTGATGCTCATAAAAAAAAAAAAAAAAAAAAAAAAAATAATAATAATATATATATACACATATATATATTATATGAGAAATGTCACTCAAAAATTTTCAGGAGCGTATTGGCTTCAGTATCCAAGATGACAGAATAGGGAAAAGACGTGCTGCTTTCCAAGAGAGGATAACAGAAGAAAAGCAGAGTAAATGCATTCTCAGGAGATAGTTGGAAAGAAGTTTACAGTGGAAATTCTACAAAAAGGAGAGTGATGCCATGCAGCAGCATGGACAGTACAAACACATTACATCCAACAGGGGCACCAACGGACACTGTCGATGGAGAACACATCATCCTCACGGAGCGTGGAGCAAGGTGAGAGGAGTCTGCAGCAGCCTGTGTCATTGCTGACACTGCCTGAGGGAGAACCTAGTGGACCACAGACTTGCAGTCTGGCCTGGAGCATCTGCAGGGTACAGGGAGCCCACCTAACCCCATGAAGGGAGAGCTCATTGCTTTCTTCCCATTCCTTGACAAGGGCCCCCAGAGACTAGTAGGGAGGAAGCACCACCTTAATAAGGCAGGTAGAGGCTGCTGCCACTCCCACACACACAAAGAACACAAATCCATGATCCCTACTGACTTTTGAGTCTGAACTGGAAGGTTGGCAGGGGGCATGGCATCCACTTGGGCCTGTGAGACACTTCCCTCCCTTCACTCTATTATTGGAACCTGGAATCAAACTACCAAGATGGACATAGACAGGCAGTTGGCTCTGGGAAAGCCTTGGCTCTCACTGAGAATGAGGCAGGCTTGTGGGGCTGAAAAGTGGATCCCCTGCTCCCTGTGACTACATGAGCCCTGCATGGTATGACTATGGGAATTCTGTGACTGCATGATAGGGCATGGGGTCCAGCAGGTCTCTGGGCAATCACTGTGTCTGGAATCAGACTCAGAGCTCCCTGAGTGCCTGGGGTAGGTCACTGCAGAGGGTTATGGGATCACACTGAGGACTGCATAGATCCTTTGTGTGCTTGATGCACCTGCCTGGGTGCAGTGTAGCCACTGTGGGCTCACCCCAGGCACTAATCACCTTGGCAGAGAAGTGATGTGATCAAACTCCCTGGTGCTGACAACAGAGGAGATCTACCAGGGTGACACCAAACTGGGTGTCACCATGGACTCTTACCCTACCCTTGAGCACTGATCAGAATTCCTTGGCCCCATCCAGCACACACCTCTGGATACCCACTGAAGGAACAGGCAGTCCACTAAGCCACAGAGGCATATTTCAAAAATAAAATCTATCAGAGAAGAGAACCAACAAGTGTTTCCACAAATCCCTAAATATAACGTACAAACACAAGAAACATGAACAAGGAACACAATATGAATCCCCAGAGGAACACAATACTTCACTATTAGAATGTGAAGACAATAAAAAAAAAAAAAGATTGTGAAGACAAAGAGATTGATAAAACGCCTGAAAAGGAATTCAAAAGAATAATCATAAGATTACTCAAAAACACAGAGAAGCAAATACATGAGTTAAAAAAATCCATACATGACATGGATGAAAAATTTTCCTGTGAGATACAGATATTGAAGAGAAATCAAATTGAAATACTAGAAATGAATAATTCAAGATGTCAAACAGAAAATACAACACATTTAGTAAAGCAGAATAAAGAACATCTGAGATAGAAGAGAAATCTTTGGAAATATCTCAGACCCCCCCAAAAAAGAAGAAAAAATTAACAAAACTGAAAACAATGTTCAAGATTTCTTTGATATTAAAAATGACCCAATCTACAGGTTTTAGGAGTTCCTGAAGGCGTAGAAAGAAGGGATTAGAAGGGCAGTTGAGTGAAATAACAGCATTAAACTTTCCTAATTTGGAAAAAGAAAGGGATGCCTAAGTACACAAGGCATATTGAACTCCTAATAGACACGATCAGAAAAGATCTTCACCACAACACACTACAGTCAAACTTTCAAAAGTAAAACATAAAGAAAAGATTCTACAACGTACATGAAAAAAATGGCAGATTATCCCTTCAGAGCATCTCTAATTATACTGACAGCTGATTTCTCATCAGAAACCCTATAGCTAGCAGAGAATAGAGAGAAATAGTCCAACTCCTATAAAAAAAAAAAAAAAAAAAAAACACTCATCCCAGAACACTGAAACCAGCAAAGCTCACATTTATGAATGAAGGTGAAATATAAAGACCTTCCACAACAAACAGAAATTGAAAGAATTTGTCATCACTCGCCCAGCCTTACAAATGACACTTAAGGATGTGCTAACACAGAAAAAAGACAGTTATCATTATGAAAAAATGAGAAAGCAGAAAATCTCATAGTAAAAGTACAAAGGAAATCCAAAACAAACATTTATGGACAAAATTTCAGGACAAAGTCATTACTAATCACTAATAACCGTGAATGTAACTGGCCTAAATTCTCTGATTAAAAGATACAGCCTGGATGAATGGATTCAAAAAAAAGACCCATCTATTTGCTGCCGAAAAGAAACACTCCTCACCAACCAAGATTCACACAGACTGAAAGTGAAAGAATGGAAAAAGGTACTCAATGCTAACAGTAAGCAAAACTGGGCAGGAGTAGCCATCCTAATATCAATCAAAATAGACTTTAACATAAAAACTGTTAGAAGGGACAAAAACAGGATTATGTAATGATTAAGGGATCAATTCAACAGGAAAATGTGGCTATAAAAAATGTGTGCATACCCAGTTACAGGGTACCTGGCTATTTAAAAGAAATGATAATGGATGTAAAAAAAAAAAAAAAAAAGACATAAACTCCAATACAACAATAACAGGGAACTTCAACACCCCATTTTCAACAATGGACAGATCAACTAGATAGAAAATCAAAAACAAAGAAACAACAGAGCTAATCAACAGTATGCACCAAATGGACCTAACTGATATCTACAGAAACTTTCATCTCACAACTGCAGAACACACATTCTTTTCACCGATGCATGGAACTTTTTCGAGGACAGACTATATGGTAGGCCATAAATCAAGTCTCGACTAATCCAAAAAAACTGAAATCATACCCTGCATCTTTTCTGATTACAATAGAATGAAGCTGGAAATTAAAAGACCTGAGACTCTCCAGAAAACATGCAAACACATGGAGACTGAAACATGTTCTTGAATGAAGAGTGGTTCACAGAAAAAAATAAGAAGGGAAATTTAAAAATTCCTAGAAATGAATGAAGATGATAATACAACATATCAAAACTTGAGCGATGGAGCTGGCACTGTGTAAGCTAAGCCTCCACTTGTGGTGCTGGCATCCTATTGTCGGTGCTAATTCATGCCCTGGCTGATCTTTTGATCCAGATCTCTGTTTATGGCCTGAGAAAGCAGTGGAAGATGACCCAACTCGTTGGGCCCCTGCACCCATACGATACACCCAGAAGAAGCTCCTGGCTCCTGGCTTTGGATTAGCTCAGCTCTGGCAATTGCAGCCATTTGAGGAATGAACCAATGGATAGATGGCCTTTCTGTCTCTCTGTCTCTCCCTGTCTCTCTCTCTGTGCCTGTACCTCTAGCTCTCAAATAAATAAATAAAATATTAAAAAAAAAAAAACTAATGGGGTACAACAAAAGCAATGTTGAGAAGTTTATAGCAATTGGTGCCTATATCAAGAAATTGGAAAGGAATCAAACAAATGGCCTAACAATGCATCTGAAGTACCTAGAAAAGAACAAACCAAACCCAAAATTAGTAGGAGGAAAGAAATAATTAAAATTATAGAAGAAGGAGCCAGTGCTGTGGTGCAGTGGGTTAATGCCCTGGCCTGAAGCGCTAACATCCCATATGGGTGCTGGTTCAAGTCCCAGCTACTCCACTTCCAAACTAGCTCTCTGCTATGGCCTGGGAAAGCAGAAGATGGCCCATTCCATGGGCCCCTGCACCTGTGTGGGAGACCCAGGAGAAGCTCCTGACTCTTGGCTTTGGAACGGCACAGTTCCAGCCATTGCGGCCAGTTGAGGAGCGAACTATCAGATGGAAGACCTCTCTATTTCTCTTCTCTCTGTATAACTCTGACTTTCGAATAAATAAATAAACCTTAAAAAAATTATAGAAGAAATAAAATGGAAACAAAAAAAGATACAAGAGATCAGTGAAATGAAGAAATTATTTTTTGGAAAAATAAAACTGTTACACCTTTGGCCCAAATAACCAAAAAAAAAAAAAAAAAAAAAAGACTTGAATTAATAAAATCAACATGAGGGGCTGGCACTGTGGTCCAGCAGGTTAAAGCCCTGGCCTGCAGCACCGGCATCCTATATGGGCACTGGTTCGAGTCTCGGCTGCACCATTTCCGATCCAGTCTCTTCTATATCCTGGGAAAGCTGCAGAAGATGTCCCAAGTCTGTGGGCCCCTAAACCCATGTGGGAGACCCAGAAGAAACACCTGACTCGTGACTTCAGCTCAGCTCAGCTCTGGCCACTGCAGTCATTTGAGTAGTGAACCAGTGGATGGAAGACCTCTCTCTCTCTCTCTAGCTCTGCCTCTCTCTAACTCTGTCTTTCAAATGAATAAAATAAATCTGAAAAA